CCTGCGCTAAAACAATTTTTTTTTTTTAATTTTTCTCACCTCCACATGGCGTCATTTCATTGGACTTGGAACATTGCTCTACGTTAAAAATCATGATGTAATATTTTTCCTTGCATTGATACCTTCAAATTCTTATGTATTTATATATCTAATAACTAAATAAAATACTACACAAATCTTCCATATTACCGCAAAAATATCATTATTTTAACATTTAAAATATAAAATGCACTTCCATGCCCTGATGAGATGATATATATAATAAAACATAAGAAAAATATTCCTTAAAAAAAACACCAAATCTGTAAGATAAATAAAATAGAGTTGGAATGCAAAACTTATTTAACAAAATATAAATGATATGCAAATAAATCCATAGATTAAGGGGGGTTTAATATAACAAAATTGAGCATTGAAAGGAGGAGTTGGGCAACGGATGGATTTATTATGATGGGAATACGAAAAGCTGGCTCTCTGCTCGTAGAATAGGACAGATAGAATAGAAGATGGCCCTCATCCGCCCAACTAATTCTTCCCGCAGGCATTGCAATGTCCAACTCTGCTTTCAGCCACATGGCCTTCTTCGGCTCTGTTACTGATCTTTAAAATTAATGTTCCCTTCGGCATAATTGCTCTTCTTCCCCTTCAATGGCTGCCATTTATTATTAGTGAAGAACAGTTGTGAAGATTGCTTGAGATATATCTTATTGGTTCCATGGTTTCCCCACACCAAGTCCAGTTAGTAGTGTAAAGAAGAAGGTTGGCAGGTCATGAGGACATATAAATTGGTCAGCAATGGAGTTGTAGCGGGATAGAAAGGAAATAGTGTGGAGATTCCCGGAGCTTTCATGAGCTATGGGAAAGGCAAGCAAGTGGTTCCGGAGCTTGTTGATAGGGAAGAAGGAGAAGGAGAAGGAGAAGGAGAAGGATGGAGATTCGATGATGATTGGATTGGCGGCGGAGAACAGATCGGCTGTTGTAGCGGTTCCACTCGCAAAGGAGAAGAGAAGGTGGAGCTTCCGGAGATCAGTGGGATCCGTGAAGGGCTCGAATTCTGCAGAGGCGAGAGTAAACGTACCTCGCCATGGGTTGTTTGAGTCCGAGATTGAACAGAAGAGACAAGCGATGGTTGTGCGGGGGCCACCGCAGCAGCTGCAGATGCTGCGGTGGCTGCAGCTCAGGCTGCGGCAGCTGTGGTGCGTCTCACTGCGGCTGCAAATGGGAGAACGACGAGAGCCATTGAGGAGGCTGCTGCGATCAGAATTCAGTCTGTTTTCCGATCTTACCTGGTACTCACCTTCTCCTGTCAAACAACCGGATCCAATAATGGTTTCTGAAGAACCCTAGAGTTTGAAACATAACTTGTTTCTTGCAGGCAAGGAAAGCTTTATGCGCATTGAAAGGATTAGTAAAATTGCAGGCATTGGTGAGAGGGCATTTGGTCAGAAAACAGGCTTCTGCAACCCTCCGATGCATGCAGGCACTGGCTAATGCTCAGGCTCGAGCTCGCGCAAAAAGGATTGGGATGGTTGAGGAGTCCCAAAAGCAGCATAATTACAGGAGATCACCACAGAAATCTCGTTTCCGACAATCGTTTGTAAGTAAATTTCTCAAGTGTTGCTTTGCAAAACCTCAGGTAATAAAGAATTAATAAGGAATCTCTTATAGAAATTTATTGAGGAATCATCCCTTGAAAAGATTTGTGCATTTCTCTTTTTGGCATGAAAATTGTTTAGTTATTATGACAAATCATTAGCAAAGATTAGATTTATTACAGATGTGAGAAATGAAAAAATATGTGAAACTTTTCATATGAAGATTGATTACATTTGCGTCTGGCAACAACAATCTCAGTTTTTGCCAGAAGAATTCCTACTAATGGAAACATTCCAATACAAAAAGATTCCCATGTTCCGCCTGAGAATCCCCACAAAGTTCTCAAGGAATTCCTCAAATGACAAAATCTCATTTGAAATGTCTGAGGAAGTCTGTCACATTAGGCCCTCAGTATATGTAGATTTGAGTTATATAAGCAAATTTCCCCTAGCAGCACCTGCAGTGCTTCAGAATAACGCTACAGTGCCAAGTCTCTCTCTCTCTCTCTTTCTAGTTCAAGTTCATATTATTACATGAAACAAGTGCCTCATGATGCAGGAACTGAATAGCAACGATGAAGAATACATCAAAATCGTAGAGATGGATCTTGGGGAGACGAGAAGCAATTCAAAAGGCAGAAGCAGTTATTCCATGGCACAAACTGAGAAATTCGACCAGAGCTTTTCTACATACAATAGAGCTGCCTGCACACCTTACAAGGATGATCTCCCACCACAGTTCTCACCTGCTCCATCAACCCTAACAGAGACGAATCCCGTGAGCCCCAGAGCCTACAGTGGCCATTTTGAAGAATTCTCCTTTGCTGCAGCTCAAAGCAGTCCACACCTATCTGCCATGTCCATGCCCACACATCCTTCTTTTGACAATCCCCTATGTCCCAATTACATGGCTAATACAGAGTCTTCCAGGGCTAAGGTACGATCACAAAGCGCACCAAGACCAAGAATTGAGACTTATGAGAGGCAATCAAGCAAGAAAAGAATGTCGCTGGAGGGAAGAACTATTCCAAGGGATATTAGAATGCAAAGATCTTCTTCTCACGTTGGTTTGACATCCAATAGTTATCAATATCCGTGGTCCATCAAGCTTGATAAGTCCAACATGTCCCTCAACGAGAGTGAATGTGGTTCAACAAGTACTTTACTCACAAATACCAATTACTGCAGATCTATAGTGGGGTATGAGGTACGAATAACTTTGTTAGTGCGACAAAGTTTTGATTTTTACGTGGCTTTTCCAAAGGGAAGCTTTGGCTGAATGGCTCATTCTTTATTGGTGCAGGTCGATGGGAGTAATTACTGACACTTTATAGCTTTTGATCATGCAGTCCTATATCTGCACGTCTATGTATGTACGAGTGACTGTCATTGTAGAATCAATCATGTTTTTTGAATAAAATCAAATCACATAGCCAAGTCCATAAGGGATCAGGATTATTTCCCACCAGATTGCGTGCCACTTCCACCATAGTATTGCTTTGTAGTCTCACGTGAAAATTCTGCAAAAGTCATTCCACGTCTCAGCCGAGATGATAAAGGTGGGATTTTTCTGAAAATTCCTTGAACAAGATGACGTAAGCCTCCAGATCCACCCATGTGACCGACAATGGAAGCATCACTGTTTATGCAAGGCTTCTCATCTTTCGCTTTGGCATCCATAAGATAGCTAGGAATAGGAAGCACTTTATTCCAAGAAGGTTGCAGGAACACAACAAAGGTCTCTCTACTCAGGCTTTCAATCTCTGAAGGCCTGCCAACTGAGTGTAGACTTGATCGGAGCTTTCCATTTGATAGGATATCAGCTGATTCCCCTACCTGAATAATAAAGCTCCCAGGTGCTGCTTTTACCAAAAGAACCCTATCATTAGTAGAATCAAATAATTGCAAGTATGTATGCTCGTGAAGAGATGAACAATCTGTGACACAGGAAGAATCATTTGTCCCACAAGATGACATGAATAAAGGAGATGTTAGGATAGTGAATATTCCGTAGTCATAGTGCCATTGTTGCCACAGATTTGAGAAATATTTCCTTACATGACTGAACTCAGGGCTAATTTTGCTGCATAAGAGCTGGTAGTCTTCAACATCTCTTATAAACTTGGGAAGAACTTTATCATCTAACGAAGCTGAAACATGCAAATTTGTAAGGCTTGGGGTAATTGGACTTGCCTTTGATATTGACTTTTTGGTTCTCTTGTTCTCCTGTTTTAGGATGAGGTTGTCTAGCACAGAATGGTAGTGAATGAGGCGTGCTTTTGCGGTACCCGCATCGAGTATGTTTTGCCCTAATTCTCCACCACCAATCACTTTATCACATAACTGTGCTAACTGAAGCCCCAGTTTTATCATGCAAAGGCCTAGTTCTTTGAACATTTGGCCAATCAACTGTTGTTCATGACTACCTTCCTTTCCATTGTTAGAGATTGGTGATTCTGATTCTAAGATTGAAAACTGCTCATATTTCAACTGCATGGCAAATGAAGAGACGGATCTATCAAGATTCTTCATCGGTACATCACTGCCCAAACCATTATCCTGAAAATTATATGTTCATTATTTCCAAAGAAGAAGGACAAATCAAAACAAGTTAAATGGAATCGTAAATTAAGACCCATTCAAAATAAATTGTATTTCTCCGGTAAAAATTAATGCAAAAAGCTTACTTGGAAGTTTTAATTTAATGAATTTCAGCTTGAATCTATCTGAATCTGGTTTCAAACATAAGTATTGAACTTGAAAATCATTTTGAATGGTTTTGGACTTTTTTTTTTATTGCTTAGTAAACTTTTCAATTGAACAAAATTAACAATATTTATTGACAGTTGATGCATGATATCAGTAAAAGATTAGAATTCATAGGAGGATTTGAATTCAAATCCTATATCTAATGCTTTATCATTTTAATGTCAAATCGCATAATAAGCGGAGATTGAAATAACAAATGGGCTCAGAGGCTGGCCCAAAGCTTGTTCGGGTTAACTTGTTCAAATAAATACCTGTTAGGTCAATCTATCTGTGCTTTTAAAGGATTGATGGGCTGATCCACTTCATAGCATTATAAATGGTCCAAGCTTCTCTTACGATTTATTTTATTATCTTTTGCTTTTTATTACAAATAAGCATGAAACACACACACGCATCCTCTTTCTTTTATGAGGTTGTGGATCTCAACCTTGCTACTAATTTTTCGTATCTTCAACTAGTAGAACAATTAACTCTATTTTCTCAAACACAAGAGAGATACAGCCTTAAGAGAGAAACAATAGAAGTGGCGAAGGATTTGATGAGACCTATTGTTAGGATAAATAATAGAACTCCATTGCTTTGGGAACTGGACTATGAATTGCCTAAATTCCATAATGAAGAACTTTTACATCAGGAAGCCTAAGACTCAGGCACTTCAAATTTTATATGCTCGTCAAAAGGCTACTTCTATTTTCGCTCACCAATTTCACCCAAAAGTGAGAAATTGCTAAATTCAATCAAGCAAGAATACACATAGGATGAAAGGCAAAAATTATTTGGCACTAAATACATACCACCATCCTTGCTTAGGCTGCACTCACTTAAAAGTTTTCTTTAAGGAAATTTTAAAACAATCCAAATCATTTTTCAAAATTTTTTGAAAACTTTGAGTTCGCTAAGTATAGAAGGTTAATGTGGGGAGCAGAAGCAGTAGCACTGTGAAAGAGCAGATAATTCATCAATTTAGAAGCCACAGGCAAGTTAATTTCTTTGTTTCTTTGTAAAGTCAATTAACAATGCCAGGCCAATCAAATATAGAATCATTATGGTTGGCTATATTCAAAGCCCAATATATAAAACATCAAATAAGGCAAGGGAGGACAAAGGAAACATGATCTTTCATTACAATAATCAGAAAAAAAAAAATCACCAACTTTATGATCTAAGAATATATATCACCATTATTATTAAGGTGAAATGGATTATTTACACTGAAAGGTGAAACTATATGGGGGTACCACATCTTTTTATATATAAATAATACACAATAAGCTGTTTTGAGCATAAATATCAAACTTTGGGTGTTAGATATGTAATTAGGTAAGAATTAGGTTATATGTATGTAAATTTCCCAACTATATCTAAATCTAATTTTTATCAAGTACGAAAAGTTGTGACTAAAAGCCCATTATTGCCGGTTTCAAGCTATTTCAAACAAAGGAAGAAAAAATTGTAGCTCTGTTTGGGATGACTTTTATTTTTTGTTTTATATTTTTTATTTTAATTTATTTTGTTTTGTTTATGTATTGATTTGAATTAAAAAATGTTTGGTTGTGGTAGTTGTTTTTAAAAACAATATATTGTTTAATATATATATATATATATAGTGCCACACTCCTTGTCCAGTTGGTAGGCAGGGTCACTGTAAGTCCCCGCAAGGGTTCGATCCCTACCGTGCTGCGTGGGGGGTCGAATTATAGGCACATGGCACAGGATCTCATCATGGGGCTGGTATATATATATATATATTATACAGCCAAACATATTTTCAAAAACAAAAGCAAAAGCAAAAATGAAAATAAAAATAAAAGTGATGCCAACCGGGCCCTAAAACATCAGTTTAGAAGGAAAAAAAATGAAGAGATAAGAAAGAAATGCCTACTCCATCAGCCAACTTTCGCATAACCAGGCAACAGTGAACAGTCAACAATTCCTATGTATTTGCGTACATACCACCCAGCGCCTATGCATTTACGTATCTAACACCTAAACTTTACTTTTTACAATTATACCACCCAAATCTTTCATATCATACGACCATTTTAACTTTTAAAAAAGTGAAATGCACCTTTTTCATGCATAGGTAATGGAACATATATGTAAAACTTAAAAAAATTAGATGTTAGATATGTAAATACATAGGGATTGAGTGGTATGTATGTGACTTTTCCAATTTCTTATTGAGACCTAAACATTTCTTTACTAGATGCTTTGTGCTTGAATTTTTGTAGCTTTCCTCCTAAACTTTACTTTTTTAAAACTATACCACCCATATCTTTCATATCACATAAAAAATACCACCATTTTAACTTTTAAAAAGTGAAATACAACTTTTCATGCTTAGTTAATGCAACATATATGTAAAACTTAAAAGTTTGGTGTTGGATATGTAAATACATAGGAATTGAGAGGTATGTATGTGAATCTTCCATGTTTTTAATGAGACCTAAACATCTCTGTACGACGCGCTTTGTGCTTGAATCTTTGTAGCCTTTCTCCTAACTAATCGGATATGCTTTCAACGTAGCTTTCCATTCAAGGCACTCAAGTTAATAACACATGTTAGATTTTAAAATCCAACTTCAACATATATAACTAAGGGTGGGGGTATATTTTTGAAATTGTGCACGCGAAAGACTAGGTGGACTACCGGCCAGCAGCTTAGAAGCTTTCTCTGCCCTGAGGCTGCAGCAGAGTGTGAAGAAGCCATTGTCGAGCTTTACAAAGGCAGTAAAAGGCAATTTTTTTATTATCTAGTTGGGGATGGGGGTTTAGAAGGAGAGAACACGCGTGCAAGAGAGAGAGAGAGAGAGAGAGAGAGAGAGAGAGAGAGAGAGAGGGAGAGGGAGTAAAAAGAAACTGGGAGAACTTGTTGATGGCATGGCTCTTTTGGGAGAATTAGTGGATGATTTTTATTGCAAGAATAATACTTATTTACTAGCAGAATATTGCAAGAAATCTTCCCTAAATTAACTACATAATAAAATAAAACAAACTCCTTGACAAACTCCAGAACAAAGTTCTAGCATAAAATGTAAATTTTAAATTTATCCAGAACGAAATCGGAATTTAAAATTCATTATAATGTCGTTGTCCTTTAAATCTACATCCAACAGTCTAGATGTCTTGTCTCCCTAAACTCAACTGCAGTCAAGAAAATCACCCAAGGACCAGCACTTTAAAATTCATGAAGAAGAAATTGAACTTCATGGCATATTATTAATGTCGAGTATTTAAACAATGGATTCAAAAAGTGCAACATTGTCGGTCAAGTCAATTTTACCCTTTTAAATTTGGCAGGTGGGTTAGCTTCAACGTTCGCTTTGAAAAAAAAACATTTATTTATTGGAGTCACCTTCTCCCTTCTCACCCCATTAGTTAATAAGGTGTAAAAGGACCTCAATTCGATTATCCATGTTATGTGAGAACCTTTGTCAAAAGAATAATCTAGGTCATGACTCCACCACTATAGATCATTTACTTCAATAAATGAGCTCATTTCTTCTACTGTCACTAAGATTTATTATTTCTTTATTTTTCTTTCTTCATATAGCCACATGCTTTTGAATAGCCTAGCATGGTTTACGTCTTATATTAATAGATCAATAGCTAGGAAGTTACTTCTTGTGTTTTTCAACAGGAGGAGAGCTTTTAACCCCTATAGGTAAAGTAATATATTGATTGAGTTAATATTTTTACCACTTTTGACAAGAATAAAATTTTATTATCTTTTATAGAAAATAGCATCCATAAATAAAAAATATGCACTACTTAAAATTATATGAACTACGTCCAATGAAACAACATTATAAACTACTTCTATCTAGTTAATAAAATCTCCAAAGAAAACAAACTTAAGAATACATGATCCAGTGACTCGACAAACGTTATTCTTTTGAAACTCACATAGAAAATATGATTTTGAGTGCTAAGTAGAAGCGACTAACCTCTACAACAACAACAAGCCTTTATCCCACTAAGTAGGGTCGGGTAGATGAATCCTTTTTATCCATTGGTTCCTATTGAGTGTCATATTTTCATTTAATTCTAATAAATTAAGATCATGTTTATACGACATGCTCAAGTCCTGACATAAGTCAAATATAAAACATCTACTCTCATAGCCGGATCATCACATGGTTGATGTTTAATGTGACCAAACCATTTAAGACGACTCTCTTTTATCTTATATGACATTAGAGCTACACCAACTCTTTCACAGATATATTCATTTCACATTTTGTCTCAAAGTGTAAATCCAGTCATCCACCTAAGCATTCTCATCTCAACAAGATTTAACTTAGTTTTATGCTTCTCTTTTATAGGCCAACATTTTGTACCATAAAGCAATAAAGGTCTCGCTAACATCTTCTAAAATTTTCCTTTTCTAAGCGGTACTTTACTATCACACAATAGGTCTGATGCATTCTTCCACTTCAACCATGCAACTTGAATTCTATTAATAACATCCTCATCTATATCACCATCACTTTGAACAATAGACCTGAGATACCTAAAACGTTCATTCATTTAAATTACTTGATCATCTACTATTACCAAAATTACATTCCATTTATCCAATTTTAGTCAACTCAAACAAAAACCTTTAAAATCTAAAATTGACCTGCATAATTCAAGTTTTTCCTAAAATTTCACTAGTCTTATCCACAATAAGGATATCATCAACAAAAAGGATGCACTAAGATACATCCTCTTGTAAATATCCAGCAAGAAAATTCATAACTAAAGTAAAAAGAAATGGACTTGAAGCCGATCACTGATCTAATCCT